AGCTCAGGCTTTTACTCTGATTGCAGTACCATTAATCCTTATCCAAATTCCCTTGGGCCTGCACAGAGCTCCAGCCTGCTGTGCCTGCAAGGATGCTGACAGGATAACAGGGAGCATTTTCATCAAGCAATGGTCCTGTGAGGAACATTCCTGCTTCTACCCATGTTTTCTTCAATGCATACCCAGCTTTTCTCCTTACACCAGCTGAAAGGGCCCCGTCAGGCCCAGCCTGTTTTTCCTTCTCATGTTGCCTCCTGCACACAAGTTTTAGCAGCTGCTTGTGTCATTCTTCTCCACAGCAGGGTGATTACTGCCAAAATTTGTGATTACAGCTTGTGAAATGTTCCTGCTGAGCCATAGCCCAGGAGATGTCAGTGAAGCCAACTGACCACAGAAGGCAAGCTTGGTGTTTGGGGGGAATTGTGGTTCTGCACAATCTGGAGCCAAAAGGCACTCCCAGCTTCAGAGGGCTGTGTTGATGTGGGAAAATGGGATTCAACTTTGCAGGAGAAGGTTGCCAGCCCTGTGTGCCAAGCAGGTGCAGCAGGCATGGATTTAGTGGGTACAGCTGCAGCCGACGAGCTTTAGCAGTAAAAGCCCTGAGTAAATCGTGTCAGGAGAGGCAGCGTGTAACAACCTGCATACAATTTTTAAATAATCGCCGTGCTTTTCCTAGAACAAGTTGTGGCAGGTCTATTTTTAACCGGAATGTGCCTAGCTCCTTTCTCCGCGATTTTTCTGGCTCGCTTCCCACGCCACGACTGTATCAAGGTTAATTCCACCGTCCTGCGGACTCTTCCTGCCTCCCCCAAAACATCACCGGCTTCGCTCCGCTCCGTGGCAGGGCAGGGCGCGCTCCCCGTTCGTTCCCCGCTGCCTGCCCGGGTAAGGCTCCGCAGGGACTCTGCCCTCCGCCCCCAGGGCAGCCCCACGCCCCGGCAGCGTTTCACAAGCGGCCCGGCAGCGCCAGCCCCGCTGCCGAGCCCGCGGAGCACCGCGGCGGCGGCAGCCAAGGTAGCGGCGGCACCGCGTCCTTCCCCGCTGCGCTTCCTCCTCCTCCTCCTCCTCTCTCCCACCGCGGCCACCGGACACGGAGGGGGAGCGGCGGGGCGGCCTCGCCCGTTCCGCTTCCGTCATGTCAGCGGAAAGAGGAAGCGGCGGCGGCACCGGTGGGCGGTGGGCGGCGGGCGGCGGGGGCGGCGGGTCCCGCGCGGGGCGGACGGCAGCGGCCGCGGGGAGAGCTCGGAGCCACCGTGTGGCCTGAGCGCCGGTGTGGCTCGGGGGTCCCCGCGGCTCTCGGGGGTAGGGGGGTCCCCATCCCGCCGCGTCCTCGCCGGGTGCCGCTCGGTACCGCGGTGCGCCCCGGCGGCATCCCCGCGCTGCCACCAACGCCCTGCGCTGCTGCTCAAACTTTTCTAACTCGGGAGTTACGTAAGGCTTCGGAGAGATGCGGAGGAATGAGGGATGAACGCGGCGGGTTCGCAGCCCGGAGCTGGGGCGGGGGCGCGGCTGGAGGGGGGAGCGCGGCCCGAGGTTTTGGGGACAAGCCGGGCTCCGCGGTGAGCCGGGGGTGGCCGGTGTCTCCTCAGCAGCCATGGAGAAGATGCAGCAGATCGTGGGGCGAGCCAGGGCCGCCTTCAGATCGGGCCGGAG